AGAAAAACCTGGCTACTTGCACAAAACAACCATACAGATATAAAGACAGTCTTCTAGAGCAGGGGTGTCAAACTGGTGGCCCATCGGCTGGATGTGTCACATGTAGGCCATACCACCCCAGCTCCTCAAAGGCAAAAAACGTTGTGATATGTCATGATACGTCACGTGACACGATCGAGTTTGACACCCGTGTTCTAGAGGGTCCACCAACCTCATCAAGATACTGAACTCATTGAGTTGAATCTCCTCAGACCTATAGGCAATGTTGCTCAGAGCCTTCTCCCTCAAGCTGAGCAGTCTTCTTAATGGTGGAATACATTTCAAAAGCACAGTATATAGTTAAACAGCTCTCTCCTAACTCTTTTTAAAACGCCATCAATGGCAGCCATCTGTACAGAAGTCTCCTACAGCAGTTTCATTTAGTCTCTTCTTGTCTGCTTGATATCTTTTTAGGAATTAAATCTCTTACAATCTAGAGGAGACCAACCCAATCCAGTCACTTCCCCTCTTCCTTGCTCTTCAAGCCTTGATTCTCGCCAAACTATTTAATCAGCGATTTCCTTACCAGTCAAACTTCTCCGGCTCTCTTTCTTGTTAGCTGAGCTACCATCTTATATCACGGTGTCTTTTGCTCTCATCAAGAGGCCTTTCTCCCTTTGTTTATAGTAATATAAATAATGAAATAAAATAGTGTTTTCACTTCTTGCAGAAACCAGAATTCCAAAGATGGTTCCTAGATGGTTCTTGTGGGTGGAACAACGATGCTGACTGCTCTTTGGCAGGGATGGACACAAGGATATTTATAGCTTATATAGAAGAACATGCCACTGAAAGAGTATAGTCAACACTTTTAAATCTTCATTAGATGCCTAGGAGGGAGACAGAATTGTAGAACAGACCTGGAGAAACAATTTACCCTATATCATTCTTAATAACCTTCACATTCCATGTTCTGCCATTTAGATAAAGGAGGGAATCAACAATTCCCATCCACCCTCCCTCACTATTGTCTAGGCTACCTGCGACTGATATTTCTATTTCTTTACATAGCTTTAAACATAGCTTCACATAGCTTTATATCATTTCACCCTGATAGCTTTAAAGCTATCCAGATGCAAGAGATTTAGTTCTGTAAGAAGTCAGCACACTGCCCCCCCAGAGAATGAAATATTTTGGGGAATATTAAAGAGGTAAAATATTATATTTCCCCTAAAGGAGAAATGGAGAAAAATCTTAGGCAGAAACAGCTCCCAGTATACCTCCCTCAGGCAGAAACTGAGGAGGCCAACTTTTAGAAATGCAGATTTTCTAATCCATTCAGGAAGACTGAGGCCACAAGGCTGGAGCTGATGGGATTAGAAAAACAAAGACTCCTAAAAGCTACATTCCCCACCCAGCTCCAAGGACAGGACAGGACTTCAAAGATACAATGGGAGTCAGGCAACAATAATTAGAATACCAAAAGGGCACACTCAAGCACAGATCAAAGTACATTGCACAGGAACAGGCACTTCAAATACAAAGCCCCAAAGAAGGTTTAAACCCCACCCACTCTCAACTCCATTTTGTCAGCCACCACCAGAAACATGCTGCTGTCACTGAAGTTTCTGGCAACTAAATAAAGATACCTCCTTTCCAAAATGTGGCCTGCTTTCAGCTCATTTCTACAGCCTCCTCCCAGCTTGGAACAGGACCTGATTTTTCCTTCTGACAGTTCTATATGTAAGACATTGTATAAGAAAATGAGGACAATAATATGAAAATATATATAGGACTTTCAGTTTTGTGCGGTAGCTACCGGTCGCAGGCTTGCGGATTCTCCACACCCCCGCGGCTAATTTCACCCTGCCTGGGGATCCTAAATGGGTCTAAGTTGCCCCAGAGAGGCAACGAAGAAAGAAGGGTGCTCCAGCAATTCTGAAACGGCAGCAGCCATTCCGTTTGACTTGGGGAAAGCCTTCTAACCCGACAGAAGAAAGGCTGGCCCTATTGCATCGACCAGCCCAAGCTACTAGCAACTGAAGTCTAAAAGCACTAACCAGCATAATTGTGAACAGCATGCTTGAAACTGGGTGAGGAATTCAATCTTCTCTTTTCTATTTTACATTTAATTTCCTGGAAAAGATCCCCAAGAAGCAAAATATCTCTGAAAGGGAAGGAGGGGGGATTTCCTCCCCACCCTTATACTAATGGAAGTGGTGAATTAATCTTTTTATGGAGGATCAAATATATGGAAGTGAAATAAATATAAAACCTGAAACTTAAAACTTAAATCTGGATAAATCTAAAATTGTTTGAATGGTTAAGACTCTCATTCTAAAGATAATTGTTCATTTTGGAAATTGAAAAGCAAATAGTTGCTGACACCTAGTGGCAGATGAAGACTATGAGAGCTATGACTTTAATATAAGACTTGGCAAAATCTGGGAAAAGTTAATATGTGTTTGTGACCTTCAAAGCTTTAACAACAAAGAATAGCTGTGATAAAAAAGACAATAATCTGGGCTGTAGACAAAGAGAGAATTATAAATTTCAGAAAAAAATATTTTTGGAACTATTTGGATTACAAATTTCTATCTAATTGGGACTCTAAAGCTATTTGCAGAGAAAAGAAAGGAAGAGAAAAACTCAAATTCTTGGCTATCATGAATCAGAGACATGTAGAAAGAACATATCAAGAAAACATAAATACTTCACAGGAGGAGATATATAGTATACCGCAACTAATTCAAACAACAATGACTTTAAACCACAAAGAAATCCAAAACAACTTTGAAAATATAAATCAATCTATTTCCAAGTTAACTCTATGACAAAAAAAATTCCCAGAAAACAACAACAGAGAAGGAGCAGATAAAATAGATAAATGGATATAGAATTGAGAATAGAGACTTAAAGATGGAACTTAACAAAACAAGGAAACATGATTTAATACTAGTGGAAAAAAATTCACAAGAATTGGAAAAAACAACTTATCCCTTAAGACTACAAAATAAATCTGAGGACAAGAAAACAGATTGGATAAAATGGACTGTAGAGATGTCAGGAACATCGGAGAGAAAGGAAATGAAGCAGAGAGAAAGAAAGAAAAAGATTTTCAACAAACATGGAAAGACAGAAGTCCCGTACAAAGAGACTTCTCCTGATTTACTTTTTATATCTACAGCAACATTTATGAACATACAGAAAAACTTTTTGATTCAGCAAAATACATTGATTAAGAAAGACACTGGGCAAAAGAAAAAGACTAAAGTGGAAACTACGAAAATAGATAATGGGACTTACCAGAGAAAATACTTAAAAAAGAAACATTTGTTTGAATATGGTTAAAGAAATAGAAATGTTTTGGAATATATATGTCACTCTAAGAGGGATGAATTCCTTAAGTATAATATAGTATGCTTTTTTCCCTTTTTTATTCTCTTTCTTGATATGAGTAATATAAAAAAGTTGATAACTTAGATAAAGGAAATGTTTTAGATATTTAAATGTAATTGAATTTAAGAAAATTATAATGAATAAAAAATGTTTTGAATAAGAGTTAAAGGACTAGATGACTAGATGTATTAAATGGAATGTCTAAAGATTAAACATATTTTTAATTATGGTTAAAAAGAATAAGCAATTTAGGAAATAACTACATATTAGCTTAGGAGGGATATATATTTTAAGTAGTATGTTATTTTTTGTTTCTTTATCTTTGTTTTTCTTTCTTTTTTATTGTTTTATCTATTTCTTAAGAAATGTAAAAGTGTGAGATGGTTCATATGGAAAAATAGAATTAAATTCTTAAATGAATTAATTTTTGAGAAAATCTTAACCTGTAAAAATACCTAGAATTTGGTGAGAGAAACAAATTAAAATAAGGACTGTAACAGGATCTATGATAAGGCAACCAGAATGATTGGATAGAAAAGAAATATTATACTGATGTGATTATTATTTTTAGGACTATTTGGAAAAAATATATATTTAATTGTTATCTATCAAAACAATAAGAATTGTATTAACTCAATGTTTCCAAAAGAGGATATTTTGGGAAAAGAGGAAATTAACTAAAACTATTATGTGGATTATGGATTATAGAAATCAATTGTTGGTGATTGTTTTACAAATGTAACCCAGACAACACACTGTTCACCAATTAAGTGATTTATGTTTTTAAAAAATCAATAAAATATATTACAAAAAAATAAATATGAAAATATATAGATTGCTTCAAAATACAAGGAATTAATCAGGCCTGGGGAAATCACATGCACATTTCATTATGTCCATAACATACAATTGATTCTTGACTTTTTTTTTTTTCAATTATTGTATCTACTAGGGCTAGGCAGTTTTCAAGGGTGCCAATCCTATGCATAGTTAGGAGATTATTACATTTACCCCTCTCAAAGGGTTTACTTTGATTCTTTGTTCTTAGATCTAGTATATATTTCTACAAACAATTAAGAGATCAGGAGGCTATCACAAATAGAAAAAGGCAGTTTGATCTGAGTGTCATGGAAAAGCTTCAGAATGAATTTTATTGCCAGGGAGGAGTGAAATATTAGTGAGGTATTCTGCTTCAGATTCAAAATCAAAGACCTTAGGGAGAGGGAAGGTCTGTGATGCATTAAAAAAATTATAGAGGCAAGAGATAATTAATATTTTAGTTCATCTGCCTTATTAATAAAGCTGTATATGCCTGAGGTAATGACAGGAAGTAAATGGATCTACAAATTTCTTCAGATCAATGAACACTGACAACTTCTTTCCCTGATACCTTTAAAAGTTACATGTCTTAACTGCTTGTTTGCTATGCAGTTCCTTGGATAACAAGGGAAGGAAGGGGAGGAGGTGTTTTATTTAGTTATTAAGTTTATATAGCAATTCAGTGTTTATGATCAACATCCACACCAGCCTGTCAGATAACTTTCCCAGAGATTTCCACACTCACGTTCTCTCTGTCTGGACTTTTGGGGTGCCTATTTCCCCAGGCAGAAGCTGGTACTTACGTTGCCACCAGAACAGGATTCTCCGTTCTGCAGAAGTAAGTTTTCAAATCAATTGGCTTAGTTTTCCCCTTTTAACCAAGATGATTGATTCAAGTGGTTCTGCAATGTGTGGGGACAGGTTACAGACCCAACGCTGGAATATCAAGAAACGAAGGAGTTTTATTTTAATAAAAGCAGCCCATTCCATGAAGCCGAGAACTACATTATCAAACCAACCCTCAGTAATCTGTAAACAGGTTGAGAAAGCAGAAAGACAGCAAATACAATGTAATGTTTAGCACTGAATGGAATTTTTAAACCAATGTTTCCAATCAACCAAATCTTACTACAGTAGTTCCTATTTTCCCAATAAAAGTTAGTCCTCAACTTACAATAGTTCATTTAGTGACTGTTCAAAGTTACAATGGCATTGAAAAAAGTGACTTATAACCTTTTTTCACAGTTACGACCTTTGCAGCATCCCCATGGTCACGTGATCAAAATTCATTTGCTGGCCACTGATTCATATTTATGACATTTGCAGTGTCCTGGGGTCACGTGATCCCCTTTTGCAACCTTCTGGCAAGCAAAGTCAATAGGGAAGCCAGATTCTCTTAACAACTGGCTTATTAACTTATCAGCTGCAGTGATTCACTTAACAACTGAGGCAAGAAAGGTCATAAAATGGGGCAAAACTCACTTAATAAATGTCTCACTTAACAACAGAAATTTTGGGCTCAGTTGCAATCCTAAATCAAGGACTACCTTTATTTTCTAGGATTTAGACTTGACACTTCAGGTTCAGTCATAATAAAACTCTTTTCTTCTAGTCCCTGATTCCCACATGGGATCCAAAACTGAGAAGAATAACGATTATTTTGTAATTTCGTTCCCTCTGAATTTCGCTTACTTTCTTCTCATTGAATAAGACAGTAGGTATGATCTGACAACTCATCAAGGTTCCCAAGTCAGCCAGCAAACTACTCAAAATTAAAGATCCCCTTCATCTAGCACAGGATCAAGTGGAATTCTTTCTCTGATTGACTGTTCTAGCCCATAGACAATGTACTTACAAGGATGATTCTTGCTGAATGCAGAATTCGCTTTTCTCTGAGGTGTTTCGTCTCTTCAAACTCTCTGTAATTGTCAGTAATTATTTACATCATATTTTCAAACTCAGAAAATGGGCCAAAGTCCTTTTTAAAAGAAGTATGGCTATTTTTTTAGGGTGGGTTTTGGAGATGGGGGTGGGAAAAGAGATTGGCCCTTTAAGTTTGCTTGTATTTTGGATTAGGCCAAACCTTCTCTTTTATTTTCAAGGGTAATTGTCTCTTCCTATCCTCCTGTCAAGAGAGACTGTTGTGCAGAAAGAGAGAACTCAATGCCAGGCAAGGAGAATGACTTCCCCACCACACACATTTGTTTGCACGTGGTCTCGCTCAGTCGGGGGGCCTACCCAAGAAACAAACTTTTGTGATTTTCCTCTTTACATGGTTTCCATTGCTTATCCTGCAATAGAGGCATTAGTAAAATTCAACACCCTTGTAAACAATTCATTCAAACTGTAATTCTATAGAAGCATTTGAGCCTTTGCTGTGAAGTTTTAAATGGGTCGATTGAGTGAGAAATATATGGGGGAATGGTTTCTGTAAGCTTCTTCCTTATCGAATAGATATCTGGATGCAAATACAGATTTCAATCTCCATCTGGCTGAGTGGAGCAAGGCACTCTGGGGAATTTTTTTTCATGTTAGCTTTCTGAGTTTATAATGTGACACCTATCAAAATGCTTGACAGGAGCAGCCTGGTTTATATATTTATTTTACCTCAGCTTTGTGTGCCAAATAAGACATAGGCAGACTCACTATAGCCTGAAGCTCTGCCATTTTTTTATTTTTATTTTTTTAACAGCAGAAAAACTAACCTAAACCCAAAGCCCCTAAGGTGACTAAAGAATGTAGGGGGGGGGGGTTGCTTTTGGTTTTCACTAGAGAAAGAATGCCATCTGCTGGACTCATGCTCTACCAGCTGTTTTGAACAGATGGTTAGGGAGGATGGAATTGAAGCACTTTATTTCCTTTTCTTTAAGAAAAGCCGGTTTGTCTTCTTCATAGATAGGTACTGGATCAATGACACCAAGCTGGCCTGCCTCTAAATAAATACAGAACTGTGGAAGAAATGTTAGCACATCAACAGATCTGAACCTTCAGAGCACATAAGCTTTATTTAATGTGATCAGGTCGTCAAAGAGTTTTTAAATTGCCTTCAGCAAAGACATGCTACCATTGACTGACTCTCTCACTCTCCTCTCCCTCCCTCCCTCCCTCCCTCCCTTCTTCCTCCCCCCCCTTTCATTAAAGACTAACATTATGGGACAAAGAGGAGAAAAATAGCTAACTAGCTTTTATATCTTTGAATGAAATGACGTTGAATGTTGGTGACCTAAGGGAAAAGGGAAAAAGGGATTTTAATCATCTTATACTTGAATTAGTTTTTGCAAACTGCTGTTGTCTTATATTAACTGTAGCCGTAAAATGCAGACTGTATAATAAGACATGCATTTTCTGATGCTATAATCTGAGGATCTATTGGTGCTACAGCAAGTCTCTTTAGCATATGATATTCTGGGGCTAGATAGTCCATCAAATTCTAGAAAGGGTGCTATCAGAATTCTATTATCTCAAAGTGTACAGTAGTAATCTTCCAAAATAGACTCTATTGTGGCACAGATTATAGTAAGGAATGGAATCTACTGCATCTATTGTTCTCTTTCCCTCACACCTACACACAACTTGGCAAAGTCTGCAAAACTCTGTTCAAAATTTTCCTTTATTTCTATAAAGAATTAAATAGAACTCAGGATTTAAACATTTCCTATTGTGGGAAGTCAGCCCCCCCTTCCAAGAAAGAAATATTTTTGGAAATATTTAAAAGGCAGAATATATTTCCCTAAAGGATTTTAAAAACAGAAACCAACCCCGCCCCCAAGTCTCTCTGTCCCAAACAGGAACCAAGTCTGCAGAAATGCAGATGTGATAATCTTGTCAGAAAGACTAAAATCAGGAAACTGGGATTAGGAAGAAAGATCCCTAGAATCAACACACCAAAAATCTAAGAGTCATCAGCCCCAGCCCCAGGGAAGCAGGATTGACCTTTGGGACATAATAGGATTAACCACCCACAATCAGAATACCAGAAAGGCACACTCAGGCTCAGGTCAATTCCCAAAAAAAGGCTCAAGAAGGTATAAAAACCTACTCCCTACATGTGGTCGCTCTCTTTTCTTCCAGAGCCATCTTTCTGGCTGGCTCTCCTCTCCAATAAACTGCAACCTTCTTTCTAAAGCAATCACCATGTTGTTTATTCCCAGCTTGGACTGAACCATGATGAAGACTTTTCCTTCAACACTATGTAAACACTGGCCTACAAAACAATTTGTAGGAGAAGTGAGATTATGTTCCTTGATGCCAGCACCTCCACTGCAGTTGACTGGAGCATTGTAAGAGAAGATATATATTTTAATGTAGAAGCTCAATTCCATGTTCATTTAAAAGAGCTTGTTTCCTCCCTTGGTAAGGTTATACAGGGTGAATAACACAATGTATACAATATATACAAATATTTACACAATATATGAGCAAATATAAAAATGGAAAGGTCTTTGTTATTATAGTCTCACATATGAAAAAAAATTCTTTTCCTAAAACATGCCAATTTAGAACAATCAATCATATAATAAAGCAACATCCATAAGAACCACTACTTTGAATTTTCTCCAGTTACGAATATGGTAATATTCTAAAGTCAGTTGCTCAACCTCTTTCAGAAAACATAAGGAAGCCAAAGTCCTTTGCCACCTAGGCTTCCTTTCTACATATTGTTAACTCTGCATACACTACTTCTCAATGTCTTAAGTTGTCTTGAAGGAACAAGTGCCTTCCTTTTCTATAAACAAAGCAGAAAGGAATATGCTGAAAAATACAATTAAGTCAGTGGTGGGATTCAAATACCTGAACAACCGGTTCTCTGCATGGATGCAGGCCTGGACCTAGAATGGACTTCTGGAAGTGACATCTATGCACTTCCTGTGGGCCATTCTAGGCTTGGGAGGCCTCCTCCAAGCCTCCGAGGCCTAGAACAAATTTTTGGAAGTGATATCCACATACTTCCAGCGGGCCTCCCAGGCCTAGAACAGCCCACAGGAAGCAGCGTGGGTTCAGCCGGTTCTCCAGACTCAACAAAATTTAGCTACTGGTTCTGCCGAACCAGTGCGAACCAGCTGGATCCCACCACTGAATTAAATTATAGTAGCAACTTTTGTTTGTACTGCTATGCAAATATCAAGTGAAAGAGGCAAAAACCTTCCAAACAATGTGATTTAAAAAATACAACAATCTAGTCTCTAAAACATTTAAGCTGGAATGAATTTACCCAGAGAAGATTATCCAGAGAACGTGAAACAAACATGGTGATTGCTGACTAATTATGTCACTTATGTTTAAGGAAATGTTATTTTATTGTTTGGCTTTCTGAAGACTCCTGATCTCACAAGCATTTAGCTTCCACTGTCATTTTAATCATCTCTTTTCAAAAGTTGATTGCAACTCTTTAGATATTTTGCTTCATCTGGTATGATAATTATAGGGCATCAGAAAATACAGACAGGGGTGGCAGTTTCAGGCCTACTGAGAAATAGGAAGAAGGGTTATGAGCAAGTACTTTATCTCTGTAACCCTTTAAGTTCCTTTTACACTAAAACAGACATGTCAAACTTGTGACGTCATGTGACATCGCGCAACGTATCGGGACAGTTTTGCCATCGCCGGCAGTGGGGTCGGCATGGCTTCTGGATGATGCCTCTGGCCTGCGGGCTGGTAGTTTGACCCCCCCCCCCCCCCGCAGTAGAATATGTCCAATAGGTTGGGTAGAACTACTCCACCAAAATAAAAACTAATTCACATACCATGTTGGGTGCATGTTACTTATGTATGTACATCAATCATTTGAACTGTGGATTATCTGATTCTCCTAAAGGTATCATCATGTCTAACTCACATAATATATGGATGGAAAATCTGCAGCCTTTTAAAACTCTTATTGGGGCCCAAGAATCCCTTATAATTTCCTTATTGGGAAAAAAAGGAAAAATCTTTGGGAAATTTTGTCATGACACAGTAACTTTTTGTCACTTATCCTTCCAACTGTGGCCCTTGCCAGTTGTGAAATATTAAGAGTAGTCAATCAAGGTTACCCATCACCCCAAGCACAAAGCATAGCTTTCAGAATTGAATAGAAACCACTCCAAACTTTTAGTTCAAAATGAAGTGCAATTTGGATCTCCCATTTCCCAAGGCCTCAATACTTATTTAGTGCATTCAGTTCTAATACCAATAACTCATCAGCAGCTTCTGTGCAGCTGTTGTTTAGGCTATTCTGCTGTCAGCTAAAAGCAGAAGTTCTATTCACTATCTACATTCCACAGTAAATGTTGCATGCAGTAGTTAAAAGTTTAAAATGACCCACTTTGAGATTTCAGTCACCATATATATTTTCTCTTGATAATTTGAACTTGATGTTTCTTAGCATCATTTTAGTATCCATGTATCTGGGTTTTATGTGGGAAATGTACTTACTATAAAAGGAAATAGGATTATAGCCTTCTGTCTGGCTATACATGGTTACTGTAAAGAAAAAAATAAATTAAATTGTCTTTGAGCCAAGATTGGCTCATGCTGATTTACAGCATGAGCCAATCTTATACTTTGCATAAGACAAAAATGGTAGCATTGTCTTTTTCTAATACATAACTTTGGACTTCCCAAAGGTCCACATTCAAAAACTAAACCAGATTTTACTTGGCTTAGCCATTTAACTGGGCAGATATTGCCAATATGGGACATTTTTCCAGTCAGTTTGTCCATCAAACTAGATAAGTTGATCTTTGTTCTTCCTTGTCAATTTCACACTTCCTTTTTCTAGTTGGTTTCACAAACCAAATAAGAAAACTGCAGAAATTTGTTTTGATTCATTTTTTCAACATTCTATTTCATTAAAGAAAAGTAGAGCAGGTAGCAAAGAGAAGATGTATATTTTTTCTATCCCCAAGGCTATCACAGTTACACATACTTTTGATTTATGTGCCTCCCCTCCAAATTGTAGATATTTTATACCATTCCTCTTTATTCAGGAGTTTATTTGTTGTTTGGTTTTTTTTTTTTTTTTTTTTTTTTTGGTTACAAGGAGGAAAAAAAGATTTGGAAGTAACGAATATAGCTCAATTGGGAATAAATCACAGTGCTACCTTGTTACCTGCAATGAGGCAAAGTGATGGAACAATACAAATTTGTCCAGAAACACCTTGGACCAATCACTCTCTCAACCAAACTCACCTCAGAGGGTTGTTGTTGTGGGAAAAATAGGAGGCGGG